CAGCACGGCTTGAGTGGTACACGCTTCCGAAATGTTGAAGAAGTGCGAGAATGGGTGGACGAATGGATTGCTTCGAAACAAACATCGTTTTATCGAGATGGTATCGCCCAGTTGCCAGAAAGATGGCAAAAAGTTGTAGAAAGTGATGGAAAATACTTTCATTGAAATAATTTAAATAAATTTTTTACAATAAATGCTTTTTCTCAGTATTTTTTGGGCGGAAACTAAGTTAAGGTCCTAATAGTATAGTAAATATTTTATATTAGTATATTAGTATAAATATGTTATTAATATCTACCGAACAAATACTTTTTTATTTCTTAGATGTTTTTTCTCTCGCCGGTTTTCTCTTGGCGCACAGTGAGTTGCAAAATAGTTTAAACATAATAAAGTTAGGAGCTCACTAAACTGTCAAAATAAAAAATCATCACTGTGACGAGCTCTTGCCCAATAATTATATTATTAATTATTATTATTTATTATTATCAGTATTGTTATGTATTACTATTTTAGTGTTCTTAATTACACTCTTCATTGTATTATTATTGCATAAGTCTATCGGTAATGACTCTCAATTTTGACAATTTGCTTGAGTTCCCAACTTTATTGTGCCGTTTTGCAAAACTTACTGTACATATATATTCTATATTGAAAGTTTAAATATTTAAAGACCAAACAAAGCAATAAGAATGTCCAAGTTTAAGGTACGTGTCCAAAGATTGGTACTTTTACCTTAACTATGATCAGAACTAGCCGGCGCGAAGTTGCCTGTTATAGTACCTTAATCAGGAAACTGCTCTTTTTCGTTGCATCCTTTGTATACTTTCGTTGCTTGTATATGTGTAACGATACAGATATGCGATCGCGTTTTGACAAGAGAACGAAGCGATGAATTTTTCCCTTTTACTCGACTCGATTTACACTCAATGTCCGCCTCTCTTGCTTCTTCCTTCCTGCCCCTGTTCTCCCTGCACGCTTCTTTTCCCACGCTTAATATTCCGCATTCGCTTTACCTGCCTACGCCGCTTCGTTCTCCACTTTCTGGCCGCTCCGTTCTCGACGTCTGCGTGCCTGCTTCGTTACACGCCGCCATCTCTCGTTACACGCGACTTGATCCCTCAACTGGGGCATAACTGCAACACGAAAAAGACTTCCATGAAACTACGATATCGAGCTAGTTGTATCAGTTTAATTAAGTTGTTCAAGTAATATTGTGCAGCTTTCTCTTTGTAGCTATTATTAATAACTGCGCAAGTTAATAAGTACTTTATTATGCTATAATGATTATACTATAATTTGTCTCAATTAACAGAGATTTCCCGCAGAATAAATTGTTTAAGCGAAATCTCTCAGGAGATCCCTCTATTTTCATTTGCAATATATTACAATAAGTATGTATGATATTATTTAAGATGATTAGATAAAATCAAATCTACCTCGCAAAGGATATCCATGAATAGAGGACATCTTCTCTTATTTCCTCAAAATTCGTGGTCATATTCAGTTAGCCTCTCTTCTCATCTTACTCGATTAATAAAAAGATTTTAAAAGAGCAATGTATCTTTTGTCGAGTCGCCTTGAGCGCATCTCTTGAACACTCGTCAAGTGGACATTCTTTCCTGTTGAGCATCTTGTCGAGCACCCTAGTTACATCAATAATAGCGTAAGGTAAATGTTCCAATGACTGAACTAATAAGAAAACACAATCAGTTCTACATTTTTATTGATACATAATTAATAGAATTATTAACAAAACTAATGTTTCTATAAAACTTTCTCATTTATGTGTATATGTTTATGTTTTTAAAAGAAAATAAATATTTATAGACTAATATTTTGATTGTTAACATAAAATTAAAGTATTTCAGCCTTTCAAGGCTTTCAAGTAAATGAGCATTAAAGGCAAGGCATTAAAGTGACGTTCCATGGCCTTTACTCCTCCCACCTCCCCTTTGTCATCACAAATTATCACACAAGCTAATAGACTCTTCCCCTTTCTTTTAACTTAAGGAAATTTCCTTATATAAATATATATATATATATATAATAAGGAAATTAAATAATCAATTATAATTTTAGTGAAATATTAGATAATGTTGGTTGTACCAGAATTGAACTGAAAAATTGATTATGTTCTAGTTAACGAACAATACAGACTCAATGATTAATAAACGCTCATTAAATAATATTACAAATGGGCATATATAAAGAAATATTTTTTAACAAAATTTCAAAGGCTTTTTGAGAAATATTAATGGGTCATTCAGTAATTACATTACAAAAGGGGAAGGGTTTATTAGCTTGTGTGATAGTGATGACGAAGTGGAGGTGGGAGGAGTAAAGGCCATGGAACGTCACTTTAACGCCTTGCCTTTAATGTTCATTTACTTGAAAGCCTTGAAAAGCTGAAATACTTTAATTTTATGTTAACAATCAAAATATTAGTCTATGAATATTTATTTTCTTTTAAAAACATAAACACACACAACTCTTAATCAAAATTATAAAATAAAACACTTAATATTTTGTTATGAAATTATTTGTATTTTGGGGAAAGAGGGGGGGAGAGATAAGATCCTCATGTCACGTAATATTGGAAGGGTCTAAAAACTTTATTCTTCTTTTTATTATTATTACCTGGACTCAGACTTATCTCTATTGTCTTTGCATCCAAGGTACCGAGATACGAATTCCAAAAAAATCAGGTCCGAACGTGTTAACGTAATGGCGATTCAAAGAGCTTTATGACGAAATGTAACGAAGAGGAAGGGAAGAGAGAAGAGGAAAGGTAACAAACATTCAAATTTGGCGTGACATAATTGTTGAGTGGTCCCTTACAAATATATTATGTGTTTCGATCATTGCTATGTTCAATTTAGTGGGACGTTTATCTTAATTGAAGGATCATAAGCGATCGCCACCGAAAGCATACTCACACATCCAAGGGCGCAGCTCCCAACGAAGCATGACTAATAGCGTTTTTCACTGACAGAATTGGTGCGCACTAAGGCTTGTTCACAGTATGTTATTATATTGAAAGATTGTCTTAAATAACTTCTCAAATATTTTTAACCAATAATATAATATATATAATATCCGTACGAATCATTTTATTACCTAAAATATTTTTAAATATGTATTTAAGACACGATCTTAAATATGAAAATGTATTGTAAACAAGCCTTAGTGCGCACTCAGTGCGCACCAATTCTACCAATGAAAAACGCTATAACCTTTGTGTTAATCGCTCGACAAAAGTGTGCTTGGCCAAAGTGCGTTTAGCACACACAGGATCGCGTAATCTCTCGCTCACGTGAGCCTGCCTATACAGAAGACACCACCAGCTCAGAGGACGCTCAGAAGACGCCATTGCGACTAGCCGACAGTAGCGTATATACATACAAGCTGCATACTAAATTTCAAATTGTACGGAAATTTAACAGTGCCACACTTCGGATCGGTTCTCGCGCGCATGGCGAACGAGAGCGCGACGGAAACACACGATCTCGCGTGTCATCGTGACTCTTCCTTTTCGTTGCGCTGCGTCGCACCGCTCGCACTCGAAGAGCAATAAGCGTATGCGGTCGCAACATCAATCATGGATATCTTTTCATAAGAATTCGATTTTACTTATTGATCATGTAACACCTTTGAAGTTGTGAAAAGTGGATAATTTTGCAGTACTTGGTGAGGTGAGCATAAATCGTTTTCTCCGATGTAAACTCGCGAAGTAAACACTTCCATATATTTTCAAGTTCGATCGTTTACTTCTTACGAATTCACGCCGCGGGAAAGGATTTATGATCGAGCCCTCCAGGGGCTCGATCGTGTATCAACATAACTTACAGAGGTGAAGGAACTTACTGGGAGATCTACAATTTCATCGATCGACTCTCAGTGAATCCGCTGACTGTCATTTTCCACCACGCGCTGCGTGTCAATCGACCGACCTCTGCGGGTGGCGGAGGAGAGCGAGAAGGACGGAGCGCGGAGAGAAAGTGCGGAAAGTGCAGCCGCGGGGAGCGCAGCGCCTCAAGTGGCCGACGCGCCGCTACGCGATGTCGCTCGTGCAGCCACGTGACTCGCGTCGCAAAACATGGCTCAAAGTCGCCAGGAAGATGGCTGCCACGGGTTACGAAAGAGCGGACGGTTTCTCGCGGGTAAGCCGCTTCCCGACCGCTCAGAAAGCCGCCGCGTCGCCGTACGTCCTCTTGGTCGCCCTCGCTGGTGGCCGCCGACGCGATGGTATACGACATTAAGTGGATCATACCGAAACTGCGGAACCCGACGAGGCTCTGGAACATCGCGAGCAGCATAACCTTCGCGGCGGTGGGCATTTTCTCGAGGATCATCATAGGTAAGGGCTATTCGCTTGCCGGTCCACGCGCAGGATTCACCGGCTGGTGGACGTCGCGCGATCGCCCACGCTTCTGCAGCTCATCCGGACGAGACGCAGCTGCCGGATCCCCGTCCTGTGCGATCCCCCATGGCGACAGTGGTGTATACGCGCGACGAATTCTCCCGTGTATTATAATGGAGAGAGCTATTTGTACACGTTCTCCCCGTGGAGTAACATCGCGCGAAGGTTAAATGAAAATATGCAGCGCTCGCTGTGGCATCTCGTTATGGTTGACATTGACGGTGCCCGTCAGCGCGCGGAAATGCGGGCACGGTCGTTACTTTTGAAACCTGCCGTTGACACGAAGAAGAAAATTCGCTGGCAGATGCAGCTACAGTGTGTGTGGTGCAATAGTGCGTGTTGCGTATGAACTGTCATAAGCTTTGTCTGACCATGACACTCTTGTTAAGCAGAGTTCAGAGTCATTCTCTATATAAGAAGTCGGATTTATGATAATTGTCATTATTTGCCATGGTTATTGCTTGCTGAACACTTGGCAGAGCGCAGTTCTCAGAGTGTGCCTTGTGATTACGTGCCATGGCACTGATGTAACATCACAGTACCTGTTGCAGCACTCTTTACAACAGATATGTGCTCTGTATGCGATACCATAAAGAGAGAAAAGTAGAGTTTCTAATTGGTTAGGCAAGGTCAGACATTCTCAGTAACCTATAAACTGTTGTACGTAACTTGTTATATAATGCGTACTACAGTGTATCCTTATATGTGTCAATTAGTCAACAAACTCACTCAGTAATCATGAAAAAGAAACATTTTCCTTTAGTGTTTTCAATGGATATTCATCAATTTATTTCACTTCTCTCATATGTGTGTTTATTAGTCATTCTCAATGTATTTCAAACAGATACATTAGTATATAATAATGATACCTAAAACACTTGAGAGATTAAATAAGAAAACTAACAGTGTAACACAGAAAATTAAAAGATCTTGTACTGCATTTTAATGCAAAATAAGTTGCCGACTCACTAAAGAAATATATGTGCATTCTTAAGTACCATTTCAATGTGGTAATGATTCACAATATCTACGAAGAAGTGAACAAAGCTAATATATCATTTCTGTGTTCTATGGCCATTTTCTTAGAGTTTTCTTTCAACTTTGACCTTTTTGTTTGGTATTAATACAAGTAAGATATCACTTATTTCCAAATAATATTATTTGTAGCAGTATGTTTTTGTTTTGTTTTGCTAATCAGAATGATAATTTATTTTCCGCGATGGATTGACTTTTATCAATAACTACGCACTTTATATCAGCGCGTTTTATTGTGTTTGTATGATAACCGTCTTATATATCGATAATACGTACGTCGCAGTCGACCGTACTATGTAGTTTTCCGAAATAGAACTCGCTTTGAAATCGATAAAATATGGTGAAGAATTATGTTCGGTCTTCGGTTTAGTGTTCACAGTACTCGTAACGTCATAATATTTGACAAAGAAACGTTGCGTGGAATGACAATGATCTTTCATTAAATTTGTATAAGAGCAGGTCGGTCGTTCGTTCTTTGCTTTGCGACATTGCGTTTTCACAACAGTCACGTTGATTTTAACATAAAGCGTGCGAATATACTGATAACCGGCCATTGACATCCGTGTATATATACAATATATACGCACGCGCGGTCGTTGACGCACACATAAGAAATTACATACTGCATTCATGTAAATTGTATTTGTTTCAGAAATTGCGGAAGAAATCTGTCGTAAACTAATCATAGACTTATCAAATTTGTTCAAAACACATTTATTCTGAATTCTAGCAGATTTAGCATTGTAATTAAGAATGTTAAATTTGAAGAAAAATTCGGTTCGCTTGCCACACAGACTCGAATCAATTTTTTCTGAGATAAAGTTATATAATATTCTTGTAAAGAAAATAAATTATTCTCTTGAGTAATGAGAATAATATTGCAAATTGGTACAAGAAAATATTTTTTAACCAAATTTTAAAGGTTTTTTTTTTAGAAATATTAGAATATAATAATAAATAAAATATTTTAGAAATATATATATACAAATATATATTTTAAAAAATATATATAATATATATATATATTTTTTTTAAATATATATTTTAATATATATTTTATTTATATTTTAAAATATATATTTTAGAAATATATACAAATATATTAATATTTTAATCATGTTAGGACACTGTTAACTTTATCTTAAAATTATATATTATTATACATTATCGATAATTATTTACTATCGATATCTATTTATTTAATTTGTAAATGACATTATGTAAGACCATTAATGACTACGTAACGTTGTAGCGGAGGGTAAATGCCAAGGTGGGGATAATGACATCAGATAATGACAGAGTAAAAGAGTTTGAATATTTTTTCTGTTGAAGCTAATAAATTATCTAGTTAGCACATGTTAATTAACGTTACTTAATTAAAGTTAATTGACGTAAAAACGTGTAAATACAACCGAGAGTATTCCGCATTAAAGTATTGTAATAATATTGCTTCAAGAGTTGAAGAATCTTGTGCTTCAAAGTATAAGATCTAACAGCATAATCTAAACTAAAAATCCGTAAAAAATGTAAGTAAATACGAAAATAATACGAGAAAGAGAGAGAGAGAGAGAGAACGAGAACTCACATTACTTTGGTACTTCCATTTTTCTTTGCTTTTTAGTTTAAATTGTACCATTAGATATCTCTTATTTAAAATATAACATTATATAAAATATAAGATATAAATATAAAATATAAGATTATTCTTATATTTGAAGTACAAAATTATTCAATTCTTCTACTTCGCTTCAACTATTGTAACGGTTTAATTCGGAATATTCTTGGGTGTATTAACATATTTTTATATCGACTTGATCAAATTGACTTTCACATCACGTATTGTCTTTGATTATGCGTAAACTGATTACGCGCAAGTTCTTAAGCAGTGATTTTGTCGATCAGTGAATGTGGCAATTAGATGGATTTCTAACTTCACTAAAAGAAAGTGTTCAAGCCGTTTCGTTCTCGACCGTGCCAGATCGTTGTGATACGATATAGAAATCGATACATCTTCAAGGGGACTCGATCCTCCTGACGTTCGTCTGGTATCGCGTATCTGGTGTTGGCATCTGGTGTTTGATTATGCATGCGTAGACGAGGTTCCGATTTCCTGCATCGACAATAAGCGCGCACGCGCGCTTAATCACGATCAAGGCGCGCCGATTAAATCGTGATTGAAGCAGGGCCGGGCAATTTTGGACAGCTGGCCGACTACCGACTGACCTGACCAAGAATTTCTCTTCTGCATTTCAGAATGGCTGAACAAAACGACGGTTTACAACAAGCACATTATCGAGCGCGCCTTAGATGTTCGGCCGAAAGACGTTCCGCTCATTACCGTGTCGAATCATCACAGTTGCTTCGACGATCCAGGCATATGGGGTAAGCTTTTTCACTCGTTTGTTAAATGCCTTTCGGCGCGTATAACGCGCATCATCAATCCCGCGCGCGCCGGCGGGGCGCAGAACTCGCGCGCGGCTGATTTATCCTCTCGAGAAATCCAGGGGGAAAAAAAAAAGAAAAGAAGAGAAACAAATAAAACGCCGCGTACGCGAATCGTCGTCCCAGGTGCGAAGCGCCATTCGGCCGCCGTAAAACAGCATGCTCCGAGGCGCTTCTTTATGAACTCGAAGGCCGAGGCACAATGAAACGTAAGAATAAAATATAGTGTCGTACGCGCGTCGGGAATGAAACTGTCTTTGCTCGGAATGTTGGTCGTTGGAGTGCGTAGAATTTAACGGATATCGAATTTCTCGTGTCACCCGCATTCTCAGAAAACAAACGAAGCATAACGATGACAACTGTGTGTACAGGATGGAATTTGACAGTAAAAATTATTAAGGTATTTCGTGACCGAGTGATAGATCGACATTCCACAGTAATTTCTTTCATTTTTTATACACTGAGGAAAAATTATTTAAGTTTATTTATAGGATATAAAATTTATTCCCACAGAAATAAACCTTCAGGAATTTCAGGAATAAGCTTTATATTCCACAAATAAATTTTCGAATATTTTCTCTCAGTGTATGTGCTACTTATATTTTAGAAACTGGAATGTACTATTAAAATACTTGCTACATTTCGAGCGAAATCTATTACGTTTCTAGCGAAACTCACTATGTTCCTTAGCAAAATAGATTTTCCGTAGCAAAATAGATTTTACAATCTGTTCACGCATGGACTATTAAAAAAGTAGTAAAATTGAAAAGAATCTATATGAAAAAAAATTATAATATTTTCTCCGTGTTGGTGACAAGTATACATTGAAAAAAAATACTGAAAAATTTATTGGTGAGATATAAAATTTATTTCTGTGAAATAGACGCCGCAATGCCGCAAATATTTGAAAATTGATTTGTATGGGATAAAAGTTTATTTTTCACACATATAAATAAACTTTACAGAAGTAAATTTTATTTTATAAAAACAAGTAAACTCTAGTTCACAGAAATAAACTTAAATGCCAAATTATTTTTCAAATATTTTTTTATCAGTGTATGAGTACGCTAAGAAAAAAATTTGTTTAATTGGTTTGTGTGTAAAATAAAATTGGTTTCACAGAAATAAACTTTACAAGAATAAATTTTACTTCACAGAAATAAACTGTCTCGTAAATAAACTTTGAAGTATTTTTTTTCTCGGTGTATGTAGAAGTAATGCATATAATATTTAATGAACTATATATACGTTTGAGAGAAGTTGCTGAAGTACATAAGTTTCGACAAGTGTGTCAATGTATTTGCCAATGTATTACTGCGATAAGATAATAGCAAAAGATAGTGATCAGGATAGTGATAAATAAGTGCACTGAAAGATATACTTGGAAATTTATTTATGCGTGTGTGTGTGTATGAGAAAAAAGTTTATTTCACAGAAATAATATAACTTTATATATCACAAATAAATTTTCAAATACTTTTTTCTCAGTGTAAATTGAACGTTCTCCAGTGACCAGTAATAATCATTGTTCCTTATCGTTCAAGAATACATTTTGGAAGCGCAAGACAATAGATGTGAATCATATCTGTCGTTTATCGGGCATTCTTGCGCTCGTTATTTCCGCCTTTTATCTTTTGTTCTTAAATTCCATTGTGTCTCTTCATTGTGTGTCGTTTAATTGTTTACGATCAACGATCGATTCTCTCCGGACACTTGCGTCATCTCGTGCTAAGCTTTCCCTCTAGCTAAGATCAATTCTCGATTTTGTGTATTCTCGATCACCCTCGATATGTGCGCTCAGGTCCCCTCTCTGAGACGTATTTTTCTTTCTCAGAACGACGCCGATATGTGCAATCGAATGAAAGAATTTAAGACAGAAAATCTCTGAACTCATTTAGCGACACTAGACCTCCGGCACGGGATCAATCGACGTAAGATGCGATGGTCACTCGCCGCACACGACATTTGTTTCACAAATGTCTGGCATTCCTACTTTTTTATGCTTGGCAAGTGTATACCTGTCGTTAGAGGCGACGGTGTGTATCAGGAAGCGGTGGACTTCTGCATCGAAAAGTTGGCTCATGGCGAGTGGGTACACGTCTTCCCTGAAGGAAAAGTGAACATGCTCAAGGAAGACATGAGGTTCGTACTGAATGTGTTTCCGCATAGTTCTTTCCGGAAAGAAAGGAATAAAGATATATTTAAACCAGGGTTGCGCGTAATTTATTACTTTTTTAATTATCATATTTAATTGACGATTAATATGAGCCATTTTATTCGAAGACCGTTTAATTTATAATTGAATTCAACCAATTCAATCGTCAACTGTTCAATTGACGATTGGTTTCAACGAGTTCAATTGACAACTGATATGAGCGAAGGGAATTAAAGATCGTTCGATTAATAATTGAACCTAGCAAGTTTCATTAAAGATCGTTTAATTCACGATTGAAATTAGCAAATTTAATTAAAGGACATTTAATTGACGATTGATATGAGCATTGATAGGAACATTAAACATATTACCAAGCAATCTTCGATTGAATCGATTGAATTTGCTCCTACACGAGAAAAAAGTTGTTTGTCGCAGTTAAAATAGTTGTAATATATGGATCTAAAAAATATTGCTGCATTAGCAACTTTTTTCGTTGCAACAACAAATTTTCTTGAAATCGACGTAATACCAAGTTGCTAGAATATGTTGCTGTTGTACGAAAAGAATTTGCTCCTGCAGCAAAAAAAGTAGCAACAATATTTTGTAGGTGTCCGTATATTACGACTTTCTTTTTTTCTATGTATCAATCATTAATTAAACAGCTTTTAATTACATTTGTCAAGTTCAATTGTTAATCGAACAATTCCCTTCGCTCATATCGATCAATTGAACGGCTTTCAATTAAATTCGTTGAAATCAATCGTCAATTAAACATTCTTCGATTGATTTTGCTTGAACCAGTCGTTAATTAGTTAAATTGAAACATTTGTTCAAATCAATTATTGAATTGAAAAAAATTTAATTCATATTTTCGCCACTCTGGTTTAAACTGCTATTAATTGAGAATTCGACGGAAACCGGTAACTTTAGGATCAGCTAGATTTCGTATCTGATTAGGTTACTGTATAGTTAGATATTAAATGTTATTTATTTCTGCTGAGAGAATCTCTCGGATCGCAAAGATTACACAACGATGGTATATGCAGAAAAAGAGAAAAACGTATTCGCAGATGAGCGTGTTGCGATAGGAGGGAGAGAGAAAGAGAGAGCTCGTGTTACTAATACTAGGTACACAGGCAACGCTCAGCGAGGAGGATTGAATCGATGATACTGTTTAGGTTGAAATGGGGCGTGGGTAGATTAATACTAGAATCGCCCATCACGCCTATCGTTATTCCTATCTGCCATCTCGGTATGGATCAAGTACTTCCCAACGAGCCGCCATATATGTTAAAAACGGGGAAGAGAGTTACCATGAATTACGGCGAGCCCATAGACTTCAGCGGAATGCTGGCCGAGTTGCGGGCGTCAAAAGCGGACGAGGTGGAAGCGCGGAAAGCGATAACCGATCGCGTTCAAGAGGAACTTGTAAGGTAGGACGATAGTCAAGCCGTTTACGTTACGCAGTGCATTGTTTACTTGTGATATTTGTGCAACAAAAGCAATGGCGAAGAAACACGAAAAAAAAGCATATTTCGAACACTTTCAGATTGAAAGCGGCGACGGAAAGACTTCACACCAAGTTATGACGAAGATGATCCCTCTTACGTCATCACTCCGTCTCTAGCCTTAATTTGCCAAATATATAAAGAGAAATAATATCGATCGCGCGAAAAGTGAGACTCGTACGATCACGATTCGTACGATCCGTATGATGAAGTTAGTTTCCTTTTTTTTTTTTTTTTTTAAGATATTCGCACACGAGTATTTTTAAAGTATTGTGTAAACATATTTGTGACAATATTGGTTAACGAAAGCATCTGTTGTATAGGAGAAGTCGCTGAAATATTCTATGAAGTTTTTTATCGTCTCTAGTTACTTCTAATAAGCTCACCGGAAGATCACTTGATGCGCGTATATGCACTCGTGCGTGTATGTCTCGAAAAGTTACGCGTTTCCTTGTATATTGTACGCATTTTTTGAAGGAGTTGATGCTGTGTGATCCTCTTTTGACGAAAATCTCTACATGCAAACGAGATTTGATATTTTAACTTTTCAAGTAAATTGAAAAAAAAGTGATTTCGTTCAATAGATACAATCTAACTGCCTCTTTTTCCCTCAATATAGCTCCTCGGCAAAGGAAGCTTGATTCCATTAATTTAATTTGGCTCCTGTCAAATTAAATTTACTCTGACTTATCTCTCGCAGAGTCATTTAGTTTTAGACATTGCACGTTACTATGCCAACGATAGTAACCGAACTGATATCTTGTTAACAGAAAGTTAATTCGCAACTTCGCCAAAAAATCGCGAAGGAAATACACACGAACACTCCATACACGCGCTATATACATGCTCATTCCGGGAGTCACCCGTTTCTCAGACGATACACCGCGCTTTGTAAAATAATTTATAAATATACATGTTACGGTGTGAAAGTGATCAATTGATGATTTCTTTTTATAAAACTGACTAATATCGGCGCAATAAGTGAGATATTCTGCTGAAACATAATCGACGCGCTGGTCACTTTCACCGTAACATATAAATTATATATGTACATATAATACACAGATAATGATCGTAGCTAACATACGGATTCTCTTTTGATGATTGTCAATAAAACGTTTTAATAGTGCAAGCGAAGATTACGTAATACAGCCGGAGTTTAAAGCGGATATATCAAAGCCGTGCCAGTACCTCATTAATTACTCTATTTTCAAAGTCAATTTAAGGTCTCACTATACAGTGCGGATATAGCACACTTGGCCATTAATTATATATTCCGTGCTCTCGTTTACGCGAGCACCGTGCCAATTAACAGATTTGTACTAGTTTTACTAAAGAACGCATAGCGAGCGATCGTTAAGTTAAACTAAGGAAGCACTTAACGTACAGCGTGTCTCGTGTCTTACAATTAGGGTGTTTGCACTGTTTCTATAATGATAAAATGCGTGAACTTATACATGAAGAATCACATATTAACGAGTATAAAGTATAGATGAAAAGAAAGTGTTTCGTTTATAATTGCTCGTGACAAAAACGACGGTCGTTGGCCAATTACACGATTCTCCTTTTCTTTTTTTTTTTTTTTTGAATATTTATTGCAATATATTTAGGTCGTAACAATTGTCACGAGATGACAATCGCGTGTCCACATGCGTTCCCGTGCGCGTACATATATACGCATGATGTTAATACACATACTTTTATACTGTAGATATAACGCACACGGACTGCTATCAAAATTTTGGGCTACGTGAAACGTGATAAATTTATATATGTATTATATACCTCTTGTTGGATATATATATATATATATTATTAAATATTAAAATAGCGTCTCTTTCACGAAATAAAATTGTCTTGTTTGTTTGATCGCTGTTTCGACGTTACTCTTATTATCGGTAAACGTAAAATTTGTTCCCCCTTCCCTAAAGTACATAAAGTCCTTATATAACCTCTGCATGCTATACGTTCTAATTGTTTGTATAACTACATAAATCATTGTGACTCTCTACAAAGCAAGATTTAAAGTAACATCGAAAAGTTATATTTTCAAGGGTTAACTCTAAGAGTTTGGTATCCATTGGTTCTAAAATTTTTATTATTATGTGCATTAACAGAATTTATAATCATAAAAGAATAGTATTTTTGTTGCCGATAAACGCTAATTTTATATCTATCATTCGGGCTCATTAGATCAATATCAACAATTTTAAGTGATTTTATGTGATCATACATATCACTAAATAATAGATTCTAGTAACATTATATGGTGTATGTGTGTGTGTAAATATATATATATACACACATGTGTGTGTGTGTGTGATGTGTGAATTTTATATATGAAATTTTGTTTAAAATTTCATGATAGAATAAGATTTTTACTTATCCATATAAGTAAAAATATAATAAGATTTTTACTTTTGTTTTCTTTTTAGATTACGAACAAATTCTTGGAAACGAATATGATAAGTATAACGAACCCGAACGGCAGATTACGACCGAACAATCAATACTTCCATTTTATCATTAACATAAATTTTGTTCTTGTATCTTATACACCAGAGACATCGTATTCAACGAGAATAATGTCACACTGCTGCCATATGTACCTAAAGACAGTGGTAATCGTATTAAAACGTGTAGATTATATTACAGTTTTCGTTATAGCATCCACAGATAAATGTTATGCGAGACATGTACTTGATTGTGTTCTCTCGACATATAGAAATAGATCGCACTATAGTCTACTGGTATCATATTATCCGTCAATACGAAGATCGTATATATCCCTTGGCACGTTTTTAATTCGTAAAACTCTGTACACTCCAGTCTTACGAGCGATACAAAAGCGGTGTACGATCCTCACATTGTATCGCGCGCGCGAACACGAACGAGAACTATATATGCGTTCATATATTTATACATACTTATATACATGTATATATTTATATATACATATATATATATATATATATATATATATATATATATATATATATATATAT